GCAATAATAATAAGTAGTGATCTGCATCGAGCCTAATTTTTCAAGCCCGGCCCGAAATTTTTTTTACCCGGCCCGGCCCGAATTTATTTAAATATAGGAATTAATTTTTATAATTACTCAAAATAAAAGACATATGTTATATGTCGTTTAGTTTCAATAAATAAAATCAAATATTTTTATTTTACATAAAAAATTCAATATAAAATTGATAAATTTATATATATTTAAAAAAGTTTCCAAGGTCCGAACCGACCCAGCCCAAATTTTTTTCAAAATATTAGCCCGGCCCGAATCCGATTATTTTAAATAGAATTAGGCACAAAGCCAGTCCGGGCCGGGCCTAACTTTGCAAATCTCTAATAATAAGTAAGCCTATCAAACGATCTATATAATATTTTTTCCTGATAGTAATGCTGGAAAATCTTATTATTTATGTTTAAAAGTGAAAAAAAGTTTTAAAAAATAATAATTATAACAAAACACGTTGTTTTATAAAGGAGCGCCATCTATTTTTGAAAAATATATTTATTTTTAGATTTTTTAAATCGTAATAACTAAAAAACCCATGGCTGTCCCAAGTTTAAATTTTTTTATGAATAGATATAAGTTTAGAGAATAAGAAAATATTAAATTCAAAAAAATTTGGAAAGCGAAACACCTGGAATTTTTATGTTTAAAATTTATAACGTAAATAAAAACCGCAACAATATTATTTCAAAAAAATCTTTAATATTTAATAAAAGGCCTTTAATAGAGTTACAAAATGACATATAACTTATATTTTTAAAATCATCATTTTTTTACCTTATCTCAATTTCAAAAAATCGTATTTTTCGAAAAAAGGTCATTTTTGGCACATTTGACCATTGATATCTCTGGAACTATGAGTACTAGGAAGCTAAAATTTTGGATTCGATGCTTTCAAAAGATATTCTCTAAGCATACAAAATTTTATCGAAATTAAAAAAGTCGGGCCGAAAAGTTATCGATTTGGTGTATCACCAAATCGATAACTTTTCGGCCCTTTAAATTTGGATAAAATTTTATATGCTGAGAGAATATCATTTGAAAGCATCGAATCCAAAATTTTAGCTTCCTAGTACTCATAGTTCCAGAGATATCAATGGCCAAAAGTGCCAAAAATGACCTTTTTTCGAAAAATTAGATTTTTTGAAATTGAGATAAGTTAAAAAATAATGATTTTAAAAATATAAGTTATATGTCATTTTGTAACTCTATTAAAGACTTTTTATTAAATATTAAGGATTTTTTTGAAATAATATTGTTGCGGTTTTTATTTACGTTATAAATTTTATACATAAAAATTCTAGGTGTTTCGCTTTCCAAATTTTTTTGAATTTAATATTTTCATTCTCTAACCTTTATTAATAAAAATAATTTAAACTTGGGACAGCCATGGATTTTTTAGTTATTACGATTTAAAAAATCAAAAAAATATTTTTTTCAAAAATAGATGGCGCTCTTTTATAAAATAACGTGTTTTGTTATAATTATTTATTTTTTTCATTTTTAAACATAAATAATAAGATTTTCCAGCATTAATATCACGAAATGAGATTATTTAGATGCGGTTATAATCATTTTTTTTTATAAAAAATTTTAATTTTCGAAAAATTATTTTATAAATTTTGAAAATTTAATATATAAATTAAAATTCATGAAAGATATTACCTATTTTCGATTTTTCATTAAATTTAGTTTTTTTGACGCCATGATAATTTCGTTTTGCGATAAATTATATACGCCCAGTAGCCGTTGATGGGCTAACTATTGTTAAAATATTATTTTTTGGTATGAAAAGGATATCTTGTGCAGCTGGATAAACAAAAGAATTTGCTGGTTCTTTAGGGTGATAAAAATTAATTTTTACTCTCTAATTACATTCACTTCTTGTAGAAATCCTAACCACCAATCGTTTTCATATGCACATGTTACATATCCTCTAATCTCATGGATTAACAGATCCTCAATCAAAGGATCCTCACGTGGATATATATTCTCCACAATAAATGTCTGGGAATTAGAATATAGTTTAGTGTTGAGTTTAGTTAAGCCAATCGGAAACATTTTGTGTCCCGAGTATTGAGAGAGATTAACTAAATCTCTCACTTAGCTTTATCTCTTCTTCTTCATAAACTGGTATAGTGGCATAAGAAAAATTTATACCTTTTATATGCTCCTCCGCATATTTATAAAATTGTAAAGGTGTAATTATTTCTTTGTAAGCTTGCCTTGGCAACTAACCTTTTTACTGTGCCGCCTATGCAGTCGCAGGCACTTTTACCATGTGCCGTAGGAAAAAAATGCTATTCTGTTTGAACACCAAAATCAATTTCATGGTAGCAAACATTGATGAAGTTTTTCCTATTTTTATATTGCGCTGCTGAACCATCAGAAAATTAGTGAATTTTTTCTGGTGGAGTGTCGAATTTATTTCTTAAAAAATGAATCAAATGCGATTGGAATAAATGTAATGAAACAGTATTATGAATTAAGGATTCCGATATTACCACAAAACTTAGATTGTTTATTTGATCTCATATTTATAATAAATTGAGAATGGATGCAACGTAACTTGCTAAGTTGTCCAATGATAACCCTGAACTTCGTCTTGGACAATAAAGGAATAATTTTCTGAAAAGTCACAAATAATTAGATAGTGATTATTTTCTAAACTATTTTTAAAGTTATTGTGAAATGAACTTTGTTGTTCACAAATAAATGAATGGCGTATGAGAATTTTCATTTTATCGAAAAAATAATTCATAAATTCGTCTGAAGATTGAGAAATAGTCTCCAGAGTTGTTCTATCTACCGAAACCCACTGATTAAAAGTAACAAGAGCTATATCATTTTTTATAAATAATTTTTTGATGTGTTCTTTCAAGAGTGCCGAGCCAGGACATTCGTTGCAGACACCAAAATAACAGGTGGGTAACGGGGGATTGCAAATCATTCTGCCTATAACATCTCTATAAGTTGTTAATGTATCCTCACCATTTTTAGTTAATGTTGCTAATTCATAGATTAAAATCATGTTTAATATTCTGGTGTATGCTACAAACGCATACACTATGTGTTCCGCTAGCCCCTGCAAATATACAATTTTTTGGTCTTAAGCTAGCAAATTTCGAAAATCCAATTGTTAATTTACACGCCTTAAAATGATTATATAATTCTTTCAAATTATTAAGAACTAACCTTTTTTGAGCGTTCACTCGTTCCCCTTTTTCAATGATAATATGCAATCTTTTTTTCCTGGTAATACCCTACTAACTTCATCACTGCAAATTTTTTTTAACAATATCAACTGTTTTTTTATTGAGATATTTTGCAAACTTTCGATTTGGAATTGAAAGAATCCCCTTTTCTTCTAAAATGATTTTGGAATTATATGCCATATGATATGTAGCGTTGAATGTCGTTTTTATTTTATTTATGCTCAAATTAGGAGGCAGAATGGTCAGCAATTGATATTTTTTATTTTTAGATAAATTAGGATATTGTAATTTCATGTTATTGAGTATATCATTATTATCTTTTGTATCCGATTCTGGATTGTTAATTATTATATCTGTAATCGCTTTTGTTATTTTTGCTACCTTTTTTTGGATATTTTTTTCGGTTAGTTTTTTTTTTCTTAATAGGAGATATTCCAATTTCATTTAAAATTATATTGATTTTATCTATTGATGTTGATGCTGTGCTATTATTTACATATTCACTATCAGAATTTATATTTTCAATATTTTTTTGTGATAACCGTTTACGACATTTATCACAAATATAGTGTTCCGCCTCAATGTTTGGATATTGTGTCATCCACGTCATAACTTTACGCATGTTCTTTTTATAATTAAAGTGTTTAGATTCTTTAAAAGGATTTACGCATTTATTTTATATTTATACATTATAAATAATTTTAAGAAGAAAAATAATTAATATTAAAATATTTGTAAAATAAAAATTAATTAATATTCAGGTGGGTGAAAACTTGCTTTTATTTTTCAACAATTAATTATTATATTTTCTTGTAGGATATCGGAATCTTAACTATCTTTTTAGGAAATTTAATCATTTATTATAAAAACTAATTTTTACAAGTTATCAATATAGCAATAATAATAAGTAAGCTTATCAAACGATCTATATAATATTTTTTCCTGATAGTAATGCTGGAAAATCTTTTTATTTATGTTTAAAAATGAAAAAAAGTTTAAAAAAATAATAATTATAACAAAACACGTTATTTTTTAAAGGAGCGCCATCTATTTTTGAAAAAAATATTTATTTTTTGATTTTTTAAATCGTAATATCCATGGCTGTCCCAAGTTTAATTTTTTATGAATAAATATAAGGTTAGAAAATATTAAATTCAAAAAAATTTGGAATGCAAAACACCTGGAATTTTTATGTTTAAAATTTAACGTAAATAAAAACCACAACATTATTTTAAAAAAATCCTTAATATTTAATAAAAGGCCTTTAATAGAGTTACAAAATGGCATATAACTTATATTTTTAAAATCATTATTTTTTAACTTATCTCAATTTCAAAAAATCTAATTTTTCGAAAAAAGGTCATATTGGGCACTTTTGACCATTGATATCTCTGGAACTATGAGTACTAGGAAGCTAAAATTTTGGATTCGGTGCTTTCAAATGATATCCTCTGAGCATATAAAATTTTATCAAAATTAAAAAGGTCGGGCCAAAAAATTATCAATTTGGTATGGAATTACCCATTAAATAAAATAAATAGAGCTAAACCAACCATTAAAATAATTTTAAGACATTTAGGGTGAGTTGGCTGGGTTAAATAGGGCAAAAAAAAATTTAAAAACCAGTGGGAAGGCAAAGGTTAAATTTATTTTAAACAATTGGAGGGTGAATGTTAATTTTATAAAGTTACTCCATATATAATTTTAAGATAGCATTTCATAATAATATTTAAAATTTAAATCATTTATCAAATTAACCTTTAATAAAGTTGGGATTACATCAGAAAATTGTGATAAAATTGTAGAATCTTTTTCATTATCAACTATGAATGCAGAATAGGCCTTGACTGCTGACAATTTCATCTATTATATTAATTTAAAATATAGAATGAATTGATTTTAGATAAATTCAGGAGTAACAATTTTATAATAATAAAATAAAACACAAAATTTTTTTTATCTTATATTAATTTTTTATAATGGAGGTCTAAAAATTTTAACATATTTTAAAAACTATACATATATCTGAATAATATACTTCTTTAGTTTGGTCGTCAGCAAGACCACTTACAATTGTTTGCTTTATGAAAGGCAAATTTTTTTTTTCCTCAGATCCAAAAATTGAAGGAAATGAAGCTAATATTTGATAGAAATTTTGTTTCAATTGGGGTAAATTTCCTGCTTCTAACATGAAATGCAAAATCTCTGGCCAATTGTTATCACCATTGTCATCTAATAAAAAATAGTATATTTTTAAAAAAGAGTTATATTTATACCTATTGAATATCTTGCAGTTTCTGAAATTATATCACAAATTTTCTTTTTCATAGATTCATCCATTTCTTTTTTCATTATAAACAATAATGTAGATTTCAAAAGTTGTTTAAGTTCTTCAGAAAGTTTATCATATACTTCATCATTGACATTGCCCAAGAGTCTTCTTAAAAGAACTGCACCTAATTTTCTAATCTAAAATGTATTTTTTTAAATGTTGTGGCAGTAATTAATAACCTCATATGCCTTATTACATTCTTGGCATATATATAACAGTTGTGCAACCTTATCGTTATTTGAAAGCTTTTCATATGCCTCCTAAATAAGCAGTAAAGTAAAATTAATAATGAAAATAACTTCCGCTTTATTTCTAGTGTCGTTGTCAGTACTCAAAAAGAGATTTAATAATTCTTCAATTGAAGTCATATTGAATGAATAATAAGAGGATCTGAGAAATGTCGATTCGGGGAATCCAAATAAAAATTTTGTGAATGAATGAAATGTTAAAACTATTAACCAATAATTCAGTTTTTATATGTATAACATATTTATGGTTTGATCACCACTGCATTATATAATTTTAGAATAAATATATAAATATCATCGAGTTTGTGAAGCGTGTATAGCCTATATGTGTTCACTTAGGATATAAATTTTGGTTCAAATTGAAGAAGTATCGGGTTTTTTAAGGCTAACTGGCACGGAGTTGGACAGGTGCAAAATAATCGAAATAAGAAACCTACAAAATTTAAATTTTCAAGATCAGAACGTGGCTCAAGAAATTTAAAAAAAAATAACAGGACGAGTATGGAAATTCTTTGAAAAAAATAATAAAGGGCTGGGAAATTTGTACATTAATCATTTTCAGGCCGAACAATTTATATAGAAGATATCAGGCAGGGCACCGCAAATTTATTTTTTCATTAAATTATAATAGGCCAATCCGGACATTAATATTTTTATATATTTTTAAATTTCAAGCTAATATTTTGATTAATATTATCAGAAAATAAATAGCGTGTGCGTATTTCTTTGTATTTTAGGAGCTGTCTAAATAAATATTAAATTAATAATATTATTAAGATTATATATTAAATCAAATAAAATTAATAAACAATTTATTTATGATATAATCTGATAAAATTAGAAATGCTCAATATGGATATGTTGTTGTAAAAACAGATAGCCATATGAAAGGTATAAGTATCATTATTGACATTGGAAAAAAAATAGACATATAAAAATGACATGCCCGAAAAATTCTTTCAAGCAAAATGTAAGAGACTGGGGCCTTATCATAAACCTTTAAAGTGCCAAGCCTTTTGAGTAAAATTTTAATGAGTAGGACAATTTCTTTTATAAGAGACCTGCAACTAAATCCATAATTTATAAGGATCAAAATCATAACCATTATTTTTTAAAAAAATCAAAGCCGGAATTCCTTTAAGTCAAGGATTTAAACTTCGCTAATCTTGAAACTCCTCTACAATTCAATAAGTAATATAAAAAAAATTTTTTATAAAATTCAACCAATTTACATACAATTTTATATGCATAAGGGGAATCATCATCAAGAGTTTTAACCATCCCCTTAGATTTTTCAAAATATTTTGCTAATACATATATTATAACTAATAAAAAAAATTTAGCTTCTAACTCGAAACAGAGTTGAGACATAAGCCTATGAAGTATTTTGAGAAAAATGTGCTCTTCTAATTTCAGGTATCTTTGGATTTAATTGAGAAGCATATCATATGAAATTTATTATGTAGCTTAATGGTATGCCTTTAAAATGACATAATATTAAATATCAAGGTTTAGATTAATATATATGTTGCTAAACACCAAAATAAACAACTATATATAATCCTATGGAGTGAAATTAAAACATGGCAGGGCATTTCTGATCTTTAAATTGTAATATATAGTATAAGCTATCAAATATTTTATGTTTAATATATAAAATTTAATAGTTAAAAGAATAGTTATTTACATAGGCGTACCCGGGGGGGGTAAGGGGAAATCCCCCCCTCCTTCAGATATTTATCACCTTTTGTAAATATCATTTTTAGCTAATAAAAAATATTCCCCTTAGTCCTCCCCCCCCCACTCCCTGACCCTCAGATATGTATGCATATAATTAAAAAGAAAGAATGTAAAAGTTGATATTTTTTTATAAAACTATTCATCATAATTTATAGATTTTTGGGAAAATAAATTTATAAATATGTAAAATGAACCAAAAATATAAGCCAAAGATAAGTCTTAAGATAGAAGAGAAATGTATTATAATTATTAATAAAGATCCATAAAATTACTAAATAATATAATATATCAAATATAATTTTTTATAAAGTGAGTAATTTTAATTTATTTATCTTAATAAAAGTAAAATATAATTATAAAACTATTGATAAAATTAAATCATAAATTAAAAAAACATTAAAGCACAATACAAACAGTGTAGATTTACAGTATATCTAATTATCAAATGACAATCAACTAATTTTTACCAATATAGCGAATTATATATTTTACAGAAAACTATAAAATATTGATAAGGACATCATAAAATATCTTTTAAAGACATTGTGGGATGAACAATATGAAGATTAAATTTAAATATATTTTTACTTAAAATAAATAGATGGCGTTAAATAATTGAATGAAAATTATTGCTATATTTAATATCAAGAGCATTGATTAGTGAAATTTGTTAAAATATTAACTGTAATATACAAGTGGAATTTTACCTAGTATTTTATAACTAATTCTGTATAATAGAGTAAAATCAACTATATGTCTACTTACTTTTTATAAATAAATTTATTATAATTATTTGGAATAAATTATACCATGCTTTTATATTATGGTATATACAATACAAGTAATTTATTATATTTTTATTTTATATAAACTAATAAAAATATATTTCATATTTGTTCCATGCTTATTTTTTTTATTAAAATTTGTAAAAATATTTAATGACTATATATAGACTAAAGTAACACGGCCGAAGCAGCCCAAAATGGGATCTGGGGGCTAAACCCCAGTAATTTTTTAATCCCCCCCTTATGAAAATCCTGGCTACGCCTATGGTTATTTATAGGCTAGTGTGGGAGGGGGGAGGTGCAAAGAGCAGATAATTAACCCTTCAATACTCTGGTCGGGTATATGAAACCTCAGGCATGCTAGAAATGATATTACATAAAAACGGTTAAATATTATGATCTGGATTCTTCAGTAGCTTCATCAAATATATCTTAGAATCTATATTCCAAATTTCATATATTTCGGTGAGTAGTTTTTAAGATATAAGCATTTTGTGACTGATTGGGGTTTGTGTGACCCCACCAGAGTAATATATTATAAAATTTATTATAACAAAATCTAAATATCTTTAATTTTGATTGAGATATATGCAAGAGAAAACTTAAACATTTTTTTTGATGGAGTTATTTTATTCTTATTTTCACCATCTGACTCATTTCTCAAATTATTTTTATCATATACCAGACAATAAACTTAAATATTATTTAGATAAATAGATCTATCCATCCCAAATGGCGAAGATTTTCCGGTTCATCTTTTGGAAGAATATAACCTAACAAATGAAATGGAATTTTGATGTCTATGGATTCAAATATTCTTAACTCACTCCTCATCATGAATATAATTATTCAAGACTAAAAAACAGATAAGATATATATGTCTTTATATTATTAATTATTAAATTACAATTACAATATCGGAAAGGGTAAGTTTCACTCATTTAGTTAAACTACAACTGGGTACAAGGTTCGTTGGTATCCTTGAGAAAAAAAATCGGCATAATTTTATGAAGGGCGGGCCTTCATAAATTCACGTTCGCTCATTTTGGGCAGGTTTATGACCAACGTGCTAGATAAGATAAGATTAAGGTAAATATGCAATTATTTATCATATCTATTTCCCTCTAAAATTAGCTAAAAATAAAGTGACTCAATTATGGAAATCTGATGGGTTTGATTGAGATATTTTGAGCAACAATGACATTAAAAAGATTCAGAATTCTAATTCATACAATAAGATTTGATGACATATTAACAAGAGAAGAGAGAAAAATGGTAGACAAAGCAACCCACATTATAAATATTTTACAAGAATTTGTTGATAACTGCCACAGATCTTTTACAATATTAGAACATGCAACCCTAGATGAAATGTTTCCAGAATTTCATGGCAAATGCCCATTCAGGCAATAAATGCCAAATAAACCATCAAAATATGGCATGAAACTATACTCTTCATAAAAAAACATAATATTTTTGTCAAATATGTAAAATAAATTTATGTTTAGAACACATTAATATTTTATGTAATAAATGTTTTGCATGTCAAATTTATTTCAATGTTCTATATTTTTTATATATTAGAATGTATTAGTGTAATTTTTTTTTATATTGAAGAATAAAGATCCATATTATGAATTATCATGATTATATGGGTTAATGGTGCTTACTACCTTAAGGTTCTACCTATCAAATTTAATTTTTGTTTATTTTTCATTTGGATAGGCACTACCAAATATATTTATAATATATATTTGAAAAATCGTGACTTTTAGAAAGCCTCTATGGCCTAGTAGGCAAGAACTTCACTTTCTGATCCCATGGTCGCGGGTTCGAATCCCAGGAATGGTCATGTTTTTTTTCTTAATCTAACTTGGTGGTTCCATCCTTGGGGGGGGATGATATGTAGAAGGCCGGACTCGACCACGTGATTCCGTTATAATATATTAAATAATAAGGGTCTTATTACATTTTAATAAATTTTGGTCGGTATTTAGCAAATTAGTTGGTATTTAGAATATTTCCATTCATTCATTTGGTAATAGGCATCATTAACCGATTATATGATGGATAAGTTATTTTTTAAATTTTAAAAAAGTAAGCTTTTTTTAAGAATTTTTGGCATAAATTATAATTATCCTCAACATCTTTAATATAGGCTTAAGAAATATAAATATTTTATCAAGCTTAAGGTTAGATCTATCTTATATCCAAATATCAAATGAAAATATAATGAATATAACTAGAGATATATACATTTGAAATTGGGGTCTATTAAACCCCACCCGAGTACTAACGTCCTTTTTTTCAACGGAGTATTGAAGGGTTAAGGCATGTTTATTTCTGATCTCTAAATTGTAATATATAGTATAAGCTATCAAATATTTTATGTTAAATATATAAAATTTAATAGTTAAAAGAATAGTTATTTATAGGCTGTGGGATGGGAGAGGTTCAAAGAGCAGATAATTAAGGCATTTAGAAGTCTTTACTATAAAGTAATCACATATTTTATTTTTATAAGAACCTATTATGAGTGCTCTTATGGAAGTGGTATAATTTTGAAAAACATTTTACTTTGACTCGATAATATAACCCAATTTTCTTTGCATTATAATGTATCAAAAGGTTACTTAGTTACATTAGTCAGAGGCATCGCTATCTC